ATTTTATTCTGAACATTCTGTTGAAGGACGCGGCTGTCGACTATTTCTGAGTTTATTCTTTAGGTTCAGTTCATCAGTTGCATACAAACATGGATAAATCACAGCAGTTTAGAAGCTCAGTGCCTCCTAGAGACCAAAACCTTTTTTAGTACTGGGCTGTAAACATGTTTATTTCTGCTGTAAAGTTGTCTATTTTTCTACATGTTACTCGCCTCTAGTGGCCACGTGAGGAACTGCATGGCTTGGTTCGGGTAACAATTAACAGATAAGCATTTAAATCTGTAAATTTCAGAAATCCCAACCCCTGCTGACGGAGCTTAATTTCACGTTTGCTTCTTGTAAATAGTCCCTTCCTATACTTAGGCTAAACCTTACTGATTGATATCCTACACTTTAATTTCACCCATTTGTTCACTTAAAAGGAAGCAGCTTAGTTATCTTTAATGTATGACCCCCTATTATCCTGCATCTCCTGCACGCTGCTGCTACATCCTATAATTTATGGGCCGTGCACGGTGATTAGTAGCCTGATTCCTGCACGTTTTTCTAATGCTCTCTGTTGTTCAGAGTGGGCTCCTGCACGCACGTCCCCCTTTTCTGAACTTATTTTTGAAGTTCCACCCAGTGAAGGTATCCCCCTATTGATGGAAATAATTGGGGAGCGGTGCATTTTAATGAACGGCGCTGAGCGGGAGCAGCTGGATCAGAGTGAGCTTCCTCGCCGGCTGCCTGCTGTACATATGAAAGGATGCCGGGTCCGTGATCGCTGGAAACAGCCAATGAAAGCTTGAACAAATCCAGATGGAGCGAGCCGTGTTCTGCAACCATGAATAGTAACATATTATGAGTCATTGATTTTGGCTGTTTCGTGTTAAGACACCGGGGAGGAGGGGAACGCACGTCCAAGGGAGGAATATGTTTCTTTGAAGGACCGGCGCGAGCCGAGATGGGACGCACTCCCATTTGACAAGCCCATTTAATTAGTAGGTTCAGAATTAGGGCATGCTCAGTCTGCCCGCACGCCACATCCACTGCTGCATCGCCGCGGCTACAAAAGGCAATTATGTCATCTTCCACTTAATGATGGCATGATGGAAGCTATCGATTGAAGGCTGCAGAGAGGGCGCTTGATAAGGCAACTGCCAGATACTGTTGAATACATCAAACACACCACAGCTGAATGCTGCGATCCATACCGAGCGTCAATATTTCTGCTTTGGTCTCAGCTGAGAGGGAGAATGAAGCTCACTCAAAATAAATGTAGTGGAAGTGTGGGCAAGCGTAAGTTGAAATCTAATAACTCGTACTGTCCGTCCACTGGCTGTCGGAGCGTATGGAAATAATGAAATAAATGAAAAGTTCACTTTCTTTTTTTTCCATCGAGCGCAGTTCATTGTGTTGTTTATCCTCTTTGGCTAAAATGAGCATAAGCTGAGGAGCAGGTTGAGCTTCAGAGGTGATGAGGAAACATGAAGCTGGTGATTCTTTAACAAGAAAATCAAACTTGAATCCTGCAGCCTCGTTTATTTAGATCAACCCAACCTGACTTTAAATCCTAATAGACAGTCTTTATGTATATATTTACATTCAGTAATTGCTTTTCTCTGTGCAGCAGTTTTCATTGTTAGAACACGAGGCAGCATTAAATCCACTGCCATCACTCTCACTGTTCAGTGCTTCAAATTAAAAGCATCCAACTGACTCTTACTGTGAAGCAGTCACAGCGTCACCAAGTGCTTGTTAATTAAAATATATATCGACAAAATAAGACCAAAACAAGGCGTTTTTCTAGATTTTTTTGTACATCAGATTCCGTTTTAAATGGTACAGAGAGTAATGGAGGAAACCGACTTCACTAGGCCCTGCTGTTATATAGAGAAGTACTTATTGAAGTGCTTTTTAAAACAACAAAAGTCTCTGTTTAGCTGCTCTGTGAACTGTAGAGTTATCCAGTTAACACCAGTAACCTCAGCCAAATAAACCAGGACAGAAATCTTAAGGATTTAAAGTTTAATATCTCGTCTGTGTTTGTTGTTTAAGTTCTACTCACAAAGTTGTTTTCCACGGCAGGAACTTGCGGGTGCTTTAAGGACGTCTTTGTGCATGCGCCATCTACAAGAACAACCCCTGTAGAACTTCTTTCAGGGTTTTTCCAAGGAAGAAAGAAGTACCTGCTCCAGGATAGGTTTCCTGAACAGCGAACTGTCACTTAAAGCAGCCTCGTCCTTCATCATGCATCAAGCTTGAAGTCTTAATACAACGTAAACAGGTGAGTTATCTAAAGATTTACCACCTGTACAGTTGTGTTAACAGGGAAATAGGCTATAGAGACCAAAGTCACTACTTAGACCAGGCTGTAAACATGTTTGCTTCTGCTGTGAAGTTGAACATTTTAACATGGAGGTCTATAGGAATTGACTCGCTTTTGGAGGCAGCCTCAAGTGGACATTCAAGGAACTGCATTCTTTTTTTTTGGTTTATTTTTGTCCCCCTGCTTGGTCTCGTTGCTGAGAGGTTCATATATTATATTCAACATACAGGCTATAAAAACAAACATAGAGTTACGTCCAATAACTAATATTTGTTGCTTGACACACTCGGAGTTAATGTCGTGGTCGAAGCTGTCAGATCCTTCACCACATTGCTGAGAGGCCCAACTATAAATACAGATCTTTTTTTAATAAATCCCGACAACATTATTGTTATTTATCCTGATTATTCATTATTTTTATTGCACTTTTAAATAAACAAAGCAGCTTCCATTTCTACGTTTTGCGGCACAAATCTGAAAAACGTAAATAAAACTTTATCCAAAAGGCCTCACTTGTTAAACATCTGCTCACTGACAGACGCTATAATTTACCAGCGTTCCCTAAACGCCTCAATGCAGGCTATGCTACGTGCTAGCTGGTCGGCTGTGCACAGAGAGGCCTCTAGTCTCCGCTCAGTCACTGCAGCAAATCACTATAAAACGAGTGAAGTAAGGAGTTCTAATGTCAGATCAACCCAGGAAGCGACTGTTTTATATAAAGCAGAGCATTTTTAACATTAAAATCGCAGTCGATCATGTTCATTCAAGCCAAAATCATGACAGTGTTGCAGACAAGACAAGTGAAAGTGAAAGTTGTTGAGCGGAATGTTGAAACAGCTGGACTGACTAACGCGTTCGTCATCCCCCTCTTATGTGTCAACAAGCTTTTCCCGTCAATGTCAGTGTTTTGTTTCCTGGAAAATATGCAGCACACTTGAGTGTTGTCAGGTTTTTTCTTTGATGGTTTGTGCCTGCAGGGGCCTCGACTGTACAGGCCTCCACCAACCTTGCTTTTTTTGAAAACGTTTTTGAAGCAGAGAAGTGAGAGGACATTGTTGAGAATGTTTTTTTTAAAGTGGTTAAACCTTAAAATGTTGGGGAAAAGAGCCACAAACAGATGTAAGAGCGCCGGCGAGCGCCTCACCTTCCTCAGGACAATGATGCCGTCCTGCGTGCTCTTGTTGGTCATGATGTCAAACATCCCGGGGCCGTCGCTGCCGATGATCCTGTAGTCCATCTCCGCATTCTGGCCGATGTCGGCGTCCATGGCCCGGATCACTCCCACCGCCGACCCCACCTCGTTGGACTCGGGCACTCTGAACTCGTAGAGAGCTGCACACAAAGAGTCACATCAATGAGATTTTGCGAGAAGAAGAATTGGTCAATCAGGGCAAGATTGTCAAGATGTTCGGGAAAGAAGAAAAAAAAAGCTCTAAAAAAAAACAGAAAAGTGCAGGAGTGTGAGCCAGAGATTGAGTGTGCAGGGCTATGGCAACCAAGGTCACATCCTTGGTGTTTCTATTCATGTCAGATTTCCATTTTTTTTTTTCTCTCTCTCCACACAAAGATGCGATTCATTTAAGCGGCGAATCAAGGCTTCTTTTAAGATTCGCTTAAGCCTAATCGATGGAGGATCAGAACACCCCAAAAAATAAAAGAAACGCACCTCGAGATCGATGTATAAACACCGCCCCGGGCCGGCGGGCGTCACAACCCGAGTGCTTCTTATTTTGATTTTTTTTTTTTTCTTATTTTACGACCTTGTTAGCGGAAAAAAGAAGGAGTGCAAGTGTGTGAGTCAGAGAGCGGCGGCACAAGAGAGCAGGTCAGGGAGAGAGTAGTGACTCAGAGCCAATCAGAGAGCCAGCCAAAGGAAAAGGGAGAGTGTGTGAAAAGGAGTGTTAGATTTAGTGCTGCAACATTTGCAGATCAGCTGCGAACAGCAGACATCTCCGCCGAAACATATTTCATCTCCAAAACAGACATTTGGCCTCGTTCACGTGAACAAGCTCAAACTTCAGGATGTGGCATAAATTCTGAGCCAATTTGCGCAACATAAATTAATTGCTACTTCTTCTTTTTTTTTTTATTTAACTCGTCTCCCTTCGTGAGATGATTTCCCGGTTCGAGGCGGATAAATTGATGGCTGCCTGTCGGCCCCGGCTGCATCTCGTATGCTTAAATAAATAGCCGGACGGCGGGAGAGGGAAGCGGGTGTGATATACACACAGCCTGCGGAGACAAACAGCACTGACACACTAATAAAACATGCTGACAGTGTTTTGGCAACGCCTGAGTCGGCAGGTCTCCGTGACACTGACACTTGCCTTCCACACACAGAATACCCTTCGCACACACTCGGGGAGGATAGAGGGGAGAGGGGGAAGGAAAAAAGCGACGCACGAGCCTGGAGGAGGTTTCCCCGGGCCAACAGGTATTTAGCATCGGGTGGAAAAGAAGGAGGCATCACTCCGGCAGACAACAATGATATCGCTGCCTGACACTCTACCTCCTCTGGGTGTCCCATTACAATATCTCTCCCTCTTTCAATCTGCCTCCCCCTCCGCCTCACCCCTCCATCACCGGCTGTCTTTCCTTGTCGTCCAACCTGGCTCTCCCTCTTTCTTCTGCTATCTCCTGTCACCTCCTCCATCCCCGTCGTATCCATCTCCCTCCGTCCCTCCATTGGCGGAGATGACAGCCACCTCCAACCCCCTTTTTTTCTCCTCCCAAGCCGGTGATAAATGGGAAGGTGGAGGAGGGAGAGGGGGGTGTTTTTTTTTTTTGCCGTTACTGAGGGGAAACACCGGTAATCTGTCAATCCGATCTGGCTTCTGCCGTTCGCCAGATGCACGAGAGAGAAGAAAGAGAGAGTAGGTATGGAGTAGAAAGGAAAGATTGATGATTGAGAGTGTAGTGTAAAAAAAAAGAAGCACCCAGGAGCTCTAAAGTGAGAACACTGGTTTTATGGAGCAAAAGGCAGCAGAAGAAAGACTTAATAGCGGGAGATAGACAAAGAGAGAGGAAGAGCGGGGGAGATAAAACCCAGTGAATGTACTCTCTTCATTTAATAGGGATTACAGGGCCGATCTGATGCACTTTGCAGGACCCTTCGCTCTGTCATATGGCTCTATATTTAATTATTCGCTGCCTTTAAGAGGCCCGCCTCGGTCGCACAAAAGCCCCGCAATAATCCAAATTCGTTTTTGAAACCGACACCAGATGGGGGGCTGGCTGGCTGGCTGGCCGGCGGTTCGGCCGACTCACTTTTGGTGAAGCGCGGCGGGTTGTCGTTGACGTCCGACAGCGTGATGCTGACCGTGGTGGTTCCCGAGAGGCCGCCCATCTGGCCGGCCATGTCTTTGGCCTGGATCACGACCTGGTAGTTCTCTTTCACTTCTCGGTCCATGCTTCCCAGCGCCGTCTTGATCAGGCCTGGGGTTTAGGGTGGAAAGGAAAAAAAAAGAAGCTCAGATTTACAAGGAGAACATGGTGCGTTTGATTGCGTTTACAGAGCAGGCGATCCGCAGACTTACAGGACTCATTATTTCCAGCTTTTATTTGATTATGTGCTACTTTAGCGCATAAATCACGGAGACGACAACAACAAAAAAAATCTGCACAAAAACTCTCAAAAGTTGAACCGCTCGTGTTTATTTGCTCGGAGAGAAAACGAGCTGCTGCATAATCAGCTGCTCATTTGCCCATTTTCCTCTTCAGCGGCTGTAACTGAAAGCCTTTTTCTGAGGTGTGCTCAGCGACGAGAGCACCCGGCGACCCCGTTCACCCCTCACCTGCGGTCGCTGCTCACTTTCACGGCTCTTAAATTTTATTTATTTATTTTTTTTTTGGTTGTGTGGGAACATAAAACCTGAGTGAACGCCAATTTAGACCTGCTTCTTTTTTAATAGAAGGAGGTTTTTTTCATATATATATATATGAAGGGACAGGCTTTCTTCATGCAGTGTGTCTGCACGTTTAAAGTCATTTACTCTATTGTCACATAATAGACATGAGAGGTACGATGAAAGCACATATGGGCAACAAACCTATTTACTGTATGCAGCTGGAATATTATCTCGTCTGGGAAAAAAAACGCCAAAATTACACCATTTATGTTTCCATCATGTCTGATGTGTGGTTCCTGACAAAAAAAAAGGACGATATATGAGCTAAAGATTGGGTTATTTCATCTAAATTACTTTAGCCTACATGTCTTGTACAAAAATACAACGTTTGCACCAGATTCTGTAAAAAAAAGAACAACCAAAAAGTGACTTTTGGGTTGAAGTGCAGGCAGTGTGCACACAGCAGAGAGGATGGGAACGAATTATAGAGATCTAAAGGGATGTAAAGCACATTTGATTAATAAAATTAATGCAGCTTGGCTCAGAAACGGTAAACAGAGGAGCAAGTTGTAGGAAGATGCATTCAGCACAGTGAAACATCTGTCTAGAGCTGCAGTTTATAAAAACGTCCATCCATCCATCCATCTTCTCCCGCTTATCCTGGCTCGGGTCGCGGACTGCTTACGTTTTTAAAAAAGCAGTAAAACATCTATAGTTTGTAAAACCGTCTTTTTATTTCCAGTATTAGTAACAGCTTTGGGCTCTTGGAAAAAGGTTGTAAATGTTGATTTGAAGTTCATTTTCTCCTTTTTTTATGGCATTATACCTGCATTATCCTACACACAAACCATTTCCACGTTCTCTCTACTTCTAGTCATGGTTGTGCTGCAAAAAAACATCTAATCAACAGATATTTCAGCATTTTCAAGGTAGTCAGGTGTGATTACTTCCTAGTTCCATGTAGTGTATGTACATGTCAACACAATATTTGGGTTGTGGATGGTTGTTCAGACAATAACCAGAAGAGTAACTCATGAGCACTAACACAGGGTGAACGAATGCAGCATGTTAGCGATGGTATGAACAGAATGAATGAATATTACATCCGTGCTGATCTAACTCTCACTTGTCTGGCAGCTTTATGTGCGATCTTCATAAAACCGAGCCTCCATGTGACATAAAAATAACAAACTGCTTCCACAGGTGGACGGCGTATATCTAAAAAAATATCCCTGTGCTCACCTGACATGCCACATTCCTAAAGCTAAGCGTCTACATCAGCTGTATTGAACTGATGATATTTCTTTTTTAGATCCGTCCAGGCCAGACAATTAAACCGCTACGAGCATTTTATTTCCTGAAAGGTCAGCGCTTCGGCTCTGCACGACTTCGGTGAACCAAAACGGGGCCCGACGCACCAAAACGCATCCGTTCATCTTCTCCTTTCGGAATTAAGACTCCGTTAGCCTTTCAAGCGCCGCCGCCGCCGTCGCTTACTCCCGCGCCGTGACGCGTCAGATCTGGAGTTTGGAAGTCGGGACAGGGAGCGAGTGAAGCGGTAATTGGCAGCGCATTCAAAAAGGTGCGATCCCATCAGAGTTTAAAAAGACCTGCGCGCTGCTACACGTTTGAATCATAAAAGAGACGCAGGTTCAGGAGGAGACAGTAGCGGAGAATAAAGACGGGAGATAAATAAATAACTTTCACCCTAAATAAACCGCTTTGACAAACTTCACCGGGCTGAGCAGATGATTCACCGCCTATCAAACAATGAGGAAGGCTGACGTGGCGCGGCTCACATCAGACTGGCCTACGCTCTTCAAAAGGCCCTCCAACTTGCTCTTTTTTTTCTCCTCTTCCTCCCATACATAGCAGAAATGAAACGGCAGGCACAATGAAGCTAACGACGTGCAATTTATCTGGCGCCGCGAAAGAAAACGTTTAGGCAAACATACAGCGGCTTTAGCAAACAGCTCGTCTACCTTTTGTTAGCGCCTAATGACGACGGCACACACAAGAGGAGGAGAAAAAAGGGGGGGAAACAAATCCTGCTTATAATGTGATGTCCAGGCATGTCTTTGTGTAAAGGGGGGATGTCAGCTTACATACCACATGTGGGATAAACCATATTACCGTTAATCCCTCTGCTAATCTGCAAATGGCTTTTTTTTTTTTTCCGTGTGTGTGTGTGTGTGT